AAGTGCAAATGTAAGAAAGATTGCATGTAAACTTATCTTTCAAACAAAAAAAAGTTTATTCCGATCCGATACATGGTATGTAAAATATCATTATTTTTAATATAGCCCTTTCCGCCATTTTAATGACGTCATAACCGGAAACTGCAGTGGGTGCAGACGTGACACCCGAGTTGAAAACACTTATTTAGACACATACATCAACATTGAATGGCGAAACTGTCTTTATAAGACTTGCGAACTGCCCTAGATGCCGGACTAATAGGCGTTTTTGCGCCAAAATTGGTGTTTTTATGAGATTTATCTAGTTTCTTGACGTAATCTTTTGAGTAAAACATATCGAATTTGGTATTTTTGTAAAGATTTTTAAACGTTCTACAACTTTTTTCATTGGTGACTTTTGATAAATTGTATCAATAAAACGTTACAAACAAAAATAACTCAAAAATATTTAAAAATACAGGTTTTTGCAAAATTACGAAGAATGTACTTATCATACAACAAATGTGTAAATGTAAAACAGGTAGCATTTAAAATTATCTTTCAAACAAAAAAAAATTCATTCGGATCCGACAAATAGTTTGCGAAATATACGATTTAAAAAAATCAATGGCCGCCATTTTGATGACGTCATAGCTCGAAAACGTACCAGGTTCGAACTTGACACCCGAGTGGAAAACACTTCCTAAGACACCTATATTGAAATGCAAAAGCAAAATTCTCTATACACGACATGCACACAGAACCCTCGTCAGGTCCTGGACTAAAATATAAAAGTGGACCAAACACAGATGCTAAAAGTTACAGACCAATTTAACTTATACCGACCTTCTCTAAAATCTTTGAAAAAATCGTCCTTAACAGACTAATATCATCTAGACCAAAATCTGCTCCTCACCAGCCAGCAACATGGCTTCCTTAAAGGAAGATCCACTTCCACTGCCTTGATACAGCTCACCAAGCACATAATAGAACAACTAGAAGACGGCTCCTCAGTCACAAGTCTGTTTCTGGACTTTAGCAAGACCTTTGACTGCCTTAACCACAAGACACTTCTTAGAAAATTGGGAGCTCTCGGTATTGAGGGAAAGTCTAAACAATGGTTCCACAGCTATCTTAATGGCAGACAGCAACTAGTTGAGATTCAGCATGTAGAAATAAACACTTGCCATAAAATAATTGTTGTTAGAAAACCATAAATGTAGGAAATTAATCATTTTTTATAGTAATATCAATTACATTAAATTATAAAAATACTGGAAGCCCTGTGCCTACCTATTTTGTACCAAGAACAAATAAAATAGGTAAGGGCAAAAATCAATTATTTTAAAATTTTGCATTGGTTAAAATCTGAATTATTAACCTTAGTAGAGTTCCAAAGCTGTGATTTGAAAACTCTTTGGAGTCTATAATAATAACATAAATATTCGCTCGGTAATATTCGATATTCGAAAATATTATGAAGTATTAGATTCGATTCGAACCCAGAAATCACTATTCGCACACCCCTACTTAATTTATTTGTAACCTCAACTAAGTAAACAGGTTTTGCTGTTTAATTTTGATATTCGAGTTTCGGGTTTCGACTTTTGGGGCCAACTGTTAGTTAATATGAGTTAATATGTGTTTAAACAAACTGAGTAGCCCATTTAGATGATAATTGGATGAACATTTCTAAAAGGTTTTATCATACAACCGTGGAAAAACAATTTATTTTGTTCTGTTGAACAATAACACAATAATATGCCTATTAGTTTCTTCAGGCACAGACCATGGGTTTCCTTACAGTAGTCAACACAACAATTGGTCGAATACCTGATGCCTACAACTTCATTTTACAATAGGTCTTTCGATGACCTTTTTTAGTACCAACTATCAATAGCTCATGGTTTGTGCCTGAAGAAACAATAAGGCATATTTTGTTATTGTTACAATACAAACGAGGGAAATTATATTTCCACGACCGTATGGTAAATCGTTAAACAAATGTTTGAATATGAGCTACTCTGTTTGATCTCATACAGTTTAACCAACAGTTGTCCCCAAAAATTGAATCCCGAAGCTCGAATCTCAAAATTAAAATGCAAACCCTGTTTTATTAGTTGAGGTTACAAATCAATAAAGATAGGCTACTTAATAATAACATGTTTACTATAAAATTAAAACTCAAAGAAGTAAACTATTTACAGTAGACTCTCAGTAATCCGGCAGATATAGGGTTGTGATACTGCCGGATTAGTGTAAATGCCGGATTACTTGAATGTTATCAATATACACTGCAACAAGTGCATTTTAGCACTTAAAACACAACTCCGAGGATCGCATGAACGGAAACCACAATTGCCGCGATCGTGCAAAACGACAATGACGTTTCCGTGACCGCGGGAGTGGATGATGATGCCTACTCGGCTGTGGGACATAGTCAGAATTTCGCATTGATCGCGGAAGACCCCACCCGTCAAAAGACGCCGGATTACTGGAGTGCCGAAGTGCCGTATTAGAGAGGGTCTACTGTATTCTCTTAATTTCTATATCTGGCCAGGGGGTAAAAATCTGGGCCTTACATTTTGCGCTGACCTCATGAAGGGGGTAAAAGTCGGGGGGTAAAATTCCGGTCCGTACACTCAAGTTTTTATAATTTGATGTGTTCTGATTAAATTAATTCACAACCGTGAAAATATAAGTTTAATTCCACCTTTAATTTATTGTGTATTAATTTATTTAATTTGTTGTGCAACTCAAAAGTTCGCAGCCGGAATTTTACCCCCTGGTTTGTGAGAGGCAGTTTTGCTCAGGGGATAAAATTCCGCTACCCCTTATTTTGTACTTCTATTTAGTTGACATAGTCAGTTTTGAATTATTGTTTGAGATAAACAGTAAGTAGATAAACATTGCTTGTGTTTACTCCTATAAGTCGACTTAGAAGACTGAGTTGTTGAATAAAAGCTAACAAAGACAATACAGTGAAGAAAAGTCAAGTTTAAATATTACAAGATGTCTTTTACGATATTCTATGTTAAAAAGCTATCTTAAAGTGATTCATAATGAGATCTGCTTGTTAAAAATAATGATATTCTAATGTGTCAGTTCTTAATAGGAAACAACTTAAATCTGTACTAACTTTACTTAAAACTTAAATCTGCTGATTTCTAAGGTCCACAACTATCTCCTGGTTCTGTTTCCACAAAGTCATCTGTCGTTACACTCCTCCCCGGAGTAATATTTACTTTCTTCCTCCTTTTCTTATCATTTACACCCTCTCCATACCTAGTGCTTTGCAGTAAGTGAAGTACAGAGTCGCTTAGCATAACAGATACATCAGCATCCACAATTAGCTCTTCCACTGTGTTCTGTTGGTTATCTTGCTAAAACCTATTTTCTGTCAAGAGGATATTTATGCCTGCTTTCCAAAACCCATATTGATGTTTTCTGTCTGTGGTTGTTTTGTGTGTGTCTAAGTGCCACTTAAGCAATTTAAGCAATTCAGTTTTTGGCACCGTTAAGCAGTTTGCTAGTAATTTAAAATCTAAATGAATCTTACGCCAACATCATTTCATAGGTCTGTGTTATCAAGGTCGATTGATTGAGTGAGATGGCTGGAGTTTGGGGGAAGACCCGGAAGATAGATATAAACTTGATGCTATTTGCTCGGCACTCTTTGATAATGTCTTAATTAAGTGGCTTGATAAATTGTCCCCCATTAAAACCTCTGTATTCTCTATTTTTTTTTAGTTCTTGGTAATACCAAAGTACATAACCAATCATCAAATGAGCTTCCATCGAACCACCCTGACAAGGTTCTTTTGTACCTGCATCCCGGGGCTTTCCAATAATCCATGTGTTCTGTAGCTCTTTAGATTAATATAGACTACATGGAGGTAGTAGGTAGTAGGTAGCCAGCAGCAATAGACACAGATGACTTGGAGGAATTAAAAAACCTTTCTTGGGTACTTTACGTCCCTCTGTGTGATGCCTTTCTTCTGGCTGGGGTCATCAGATTTGGAAGGAATCCCATGTTTATTAAGATGTGCTTTTACAAGACACTTGTTATCTAAACCATCAAGGAGAACACCAAAAGAAGAACAAGTCTTAACATACTCATCAAGTTCGTTTTCTGTTACTGCGTTCCTTTTCTGTCATCCTGACGACTTGGAATGTAGTCCTTTTAATTTTCTGGCTAGAGTTTCACGAGGTATGTGATATTGTTCAGCAACTTTCCTTTGGGTCAGTTTGCCATTATGTATGTAATGTCGTACAGTAATGCTTTATTCATTGTCTCTTCGGAATAGCATAGGAACAAGCACCAGATATTCTTACATATCCGTGGCATTTTAACACTATGTCTTTCTATGCTTCAACACACAAATGACTGAAACATACACCAGTAACAGATAAATTTATATGTACCAGGCCAAGATGCACATACACGAAAAAAGAGAAAAATAATTTAAAAAAGAACATCCATCTCGTACAGCTACTGTGGTATCAAGTCACACCAAAGCAGGACTATGCTGATAATGTAATTTAAGAAGTAGAAAGAGAGGAAAAAATGCCACACGTTTCACAAGGTCATTGTTCTGCAAAAAAGTAGAACATTATTCAAGTTTAATGCGCAATTCTTTTGCTTTAAATTTTTATATTATCAAAGTTTACGTTTTTGTCCAATTTGTTTGCCTTTTTTTAATTCAATTTTGTCTCAATTGAAGATATTATTGAAGTAAAGGTATTGGGGTGGGCTTCAAAAAAGGTAAAGTAGACTAGTAATTTATTAGCAGTTAAACATTTGAAAAGTTTAAAACATTAAAAAGCTTTTGTTGTTCAAAGGTTTATTGCGGACATTTTCCATCACTATGGTAAAAAACAATACACAATGTTTCACCACAACATTAACTCACCATCACCAACAATGAACTTTAAACAAAGAAAAGGCTTTTGGGTTTAAGTCACCCCACAGGCCTCAAGTCAACCTGTTTTAGGGTACTTAAATTTTTCCTCCTTTACAGAATTGGGAAGTGTATGTGAGCGAGTCAATGTTCTGGGAAAGGCTGCGATCGTTGGAATCAATGTTGGCTGTAAGAGAGGGCCGCAGCAGGGGATGGTTCTCTTACACAGAGTTGGCAACGTTAATACATGCTTCGGAACTGGTGAACCTTGCTCATACCCTCATCACAGTAAGTCAATTAACAATGTACATAATTATGTAACTATTTATTTTTAATGAGTCTTTGTAAACATTTTAGGAACATCACATGTGATCCCTTTTTTGCAATAACAATTACTCCTTAGTGTAGTAACATGAAAAAAACTAATTTATCATGTCCAAAAATAATAAATTTGTTAAAACAAATAAATTGAATTTAGGTGTTTAACTTGAGTGGTTATGTTGTGTACATAGGTATCAGCAGTCTGCTTGACCAGTTACACAGCAAGTGTGTTAGTGATGGTTGGATCAACCATTGCTACCAACCAGATGTCTTGTATTGCCACCAGTCTGATGTCAGCTTCCACCACTACTTCCCACACCACCTATCATCTACCGAGCCTCACAGACTTCAACTGTGCGCCTGCGCCTACCACTCTGACAAACCAATCAGTGGACCTTCCTACAAATCTAGACCTTGAAAATCTAACGCTTCCCCAAGAAACTGTGTATGCCCGTAATCCTGAGAGCCACTTTGTAAGAAATAGAAATGTATGGACCGAACAGAAGGACTGGCTCACGGCTATTTCTAACATCATAGCTTCTCATCCGAGTACCATAATACCGGTAGAGATCGTCTCTTACTGATGATTGATTAAAGCGAAGAAAGTACTAATCACTTCCATTGACTAAAGGCTGTTAACATTTTTAAAGGTCAGCTTATTTTTGTAATCAAGAATAATTTGTGTTTTTACCCAGGGTATATTGTAGTTTTGTATATATATTGGCAAGAATTACACTATGTATACTAAAAGTATATTTTACTCAACAGAATTTATAAACATAGCAAATTTATATTATTATTTATCTTTTTAACTATTTTTTTGCAAGTATTAAATGTATCATCATGTTTGCACAGATGCTATTTTGAATAATATATTTTTTTAAGTAATGATTGAAGTGGTTATTATTTTGTTCTCACCTTTAAAATATGTTTTTAACAGGGTTAAAATTAAATGAGAAGTCAATAGACATGATTTAGCCCCTGAGCTGAATTGATGACTATAATATAATTGTACAGTTACCTTGTCACAGCTCTTTAGTTTCCGTATATATTACGGCTGTTTCAATATCAAAATGCCATCCATCCTCAGATACATACATCCACCGGATTTGGCGTCGTCAAACTTGTTACACACACGTAACTTGATAACAAACACTTAAAACATATAAAACGAGAGACAGGCCTGTCGCGCATATTTAATTTACTCATCATGTGCGGGACAGGCCTGTCTCTCGTTTTATACTTTTGAATTATGCAGCAAATTTATGGGAATTTAAGCTTTTGAATCAAACTTTTAACGGGCAATTTTGCTTTTAAAAGTGCCAAATAATAGAAAAAACTAATTATAGGTGGATTTTATAAATAATTCACAATTGCATTCAGTAATGAAATGTACAATATATACCATTTGACTTTCGTGCACTTTTTCATAAAGTCAAACTCTCAATAAAATTTACTGAATTAGTGTAATGAAAGTAAAACCCCAGATTAAATGCAAACAGAATAAAGGGTTTCAATTAGGGGTCTGTGGGTACCCGACCCGGACTCAAAAATCGGGTAATTTTGCACTACCCGAAGTGTCAGGCGGGTAGAAGAAATACCCGAATTTATTTCAAGCAGGTAATCTGGTAACCTATTATTAAAAATTGTAGTGTTTAATTATAAAATTTTCAGCTTTATATAAAGATATTTTAATAATGAAATAAGTAAAACCTAAATTGTGTGCTACAAATGTTCCTAACCCTATATTTAAACACTATCAAATGACTGCCAACTACTGACTAAATCAGTCAAATAAATGATTTTCCATTCGTAATTTTTGGCTACATCAATATCGTCGGCGTCTGCTTGCTGGCACACCGTCTGCATTACGTACTATAGCATAATTAATTATTATAGTATATAAAACTCAACTGGACAGTCACTGTCAAGAATGTTGGTATGGGACAAGAATATCTTTTTATATTAGGCCTATTCCTGGTGTTGGAAAGTTAAGTTTAAATATTTTATATTCTATATTTCTTGATTTTTTTTAATGAGTCAGAATAAATTGTCAAATATGTTATCAAATGAATAAATACATTATAAAGTATTAAGTCACTATTTTAACTTAGCAAGAAATGCATCATCTGTGTGTGAATAATTACAAAAATTAATAATATCTCTCTTGTCAGAGCAGACACTACAATAAGTATTATCACAACTGTGAGGCTGCATGGTTGACAAGCAAGACTAACTTTTAAAAGATTTATACTTCAGAATTGGCGTTAGGGCTCAGGGTCCCTGTCAGATTTGGGCTTTGGGAGTTACAGAGTAGTTTTATCTGTCCGTGACAAATTAATTATGGGCTAGAGTTACCTGTAAGGGAATTAGTACACTATTTGCAAAAAGTCTCTGAAGTGCTTAGTCTATATTGGGGATACATATAATAGAGGGTGGTTGACAGTCTAAAGATGCAACAATATCAAATTTAAGTAGGCCTAGCCTAACTTAGACTAAGGACACAGAGGTTTTATTTTGCCTCTATGTAAAGTAGTAAAGTAAAGTAAAGTAAGGGTCTACTAACTTGCAATAGGCTATGTCAAAATATTATGTTTGTGTTTAATCTTGTGTTGAAATGTTTAATCTTTATATTATTGATACTGGTAAATATTATATTTCTAAGATCAGGCATGAAACATTAATTTGTTTGCTGAAATATCAATAAAAACCCGAAAAATACTCTGAAATTTAATTTTGGTCATTTTGAGCTCGACCCGAAAATTACCCGGACTACCGCCACTCTTGCAGTGATGTATGAATGTTCTAAAAGCCTTACATTTACAATGCAATACCCAAGAATTTGAGAGCTAAGTGAAGTGGATGCCATTGAAACTCTACCAGAACAAGGCAAAGTCTAATATTATGTTTAGAAACAAATGCATCACTTAAAAAAGATTCTGAACTTCCTGTATCTATTAATGCATCGGCTTGAAGATTATCTACAGTGACTGGCACCACAGCTCGTTTTAAACAAGAAGGTGAAGCTGCTGTCACAGTAGCAACGACATTTGGATCAGTCGTAACGGCGTTAGAAGCTTTATTGTTACTCTTTTTGAGATTAGACCTACAGACTTTTGAATAATAATAATGGCCTGTTTTAGAGTAGTTCTTGCAGACTGCATCTTTAGCTGGACATGATGCACTTGGATGTCTACCGTATCCACAGAAGTAGCATTTAGAGGTTTTTGCTGAAAGCTGCGACACATCATTTTCAGAAACAGAATTTACAGATGAAGTAGCATTTACAACAGGATCGACATTAGAATAGTAGATTGATAATGAGCAGCTTCCAAAGCTAGAGCTTGATTAGAAGCTTGTTCCAGAGATAGAGTATTATTTTCTAAAAGTCTTTGTCGTATTGAGGAAGATAAAATTCCACTAAGAAACACATCTCGAATAAAGTTGTTTTTATGTTCTTCAGCAGTGACTGCCAAAATTTACATTCCTTACTTAGAACGTTTAGGGATAGTAGGTATTCACTGATAGTCTCACCTGATTTTTGCTTACGTGATGCTAACTGGTACCTTGCGAAGATTTCACTTGTTGGTTTTATAAATATACTGTTCAGAATCTTGATGGCTTCATCATAGGTATTACATTCAGTTATGAATTCAAAGATAGGTTGGGGAACATGATTAATTAAAAGGTTTAGTTTGTCATCTGAAGTTACTCTTTCTTCATTTGTTCCAATTTTGTTTACAAAACTTTCAAATGTTTTTATAATGTTTGTGTCGTTTATTTCTGGTTTGTTTGTTTACCTTTTCAAAAGGTATGTTTTGTCTTACTTTCAATTTAAATGTCAATATTTTATTTACTCTGTTTATATTTAATACTTAATTTCATTAAGCTACAGATCTTGTGGGCTGTTCTACAAATAAAATAAACGTTCACTTGTTTATAACAAATTAATTTATTAATACAAAAAGGAAAAGTTCAATTGGTTAGAGAGTATTAAACATTCATTTGGGCGAATCTTAAATCTTCAAGATAGTTCTTTAGATCAACTAGCCTAACTTATAATAAGTTATGTAATATGGCCTAATTAATTTTTAAATCTTATCTGATGTAGTAGTGTAGTAATGAGATGAACGTAGCCGGACGAGGTCTATTCCTGGATTCGGTTGTCAGCACTCCTGCGACTGCGTAGGTTAGGTTTAGCCACGGCGTCGTCTCCGTTCGTTGACAAGGATCTGCCATCGCCATTTTCCCACCATGATGCGAAGACCGGCATTTTGCTATTCACAGTCACCCGCTTCACCAACTTGACTTTAAGTCTGTTTCGTTCTGATAAGTTAACGGTTATAGATATCCGGGTCACTTCACTTTAACATTAAGGAAGTTATGACACGGTGGTAGGAACAAATGATGTCTTTATGTTTTAAGAAATATGGACTAAAACCAAAACACATCCTTCCGCTACGGTATCTCCTCGCTGAAACTCTCTAGCCTCGTACCCGGAGCCCGGAGCATCTGCTTTCTGATTGGTTCCGAAGTCAAGCGCGCACGCGTATTGATTTTCCGAATACTGACGGATTCACACGAAGTTGTCCTACCATTGAATCCATTCTATAATGTTTAGCTTTAATATACAAATTTTAATTATTTATTTACTAACCGATATAATCGACCCGTCACAGATACCCCCTAGATTTTTTGTCTACGAATATTTAAAAAAAAAATCCACTTCCTCCAAAGGCTGTTCATCTCATTTTTACAATTTTTTTATTATTTTTTTTTATCACTACCTATCTTAAAAATGTATCAAACTCTAACATATATTTCAATTACCATTTCAAAATAAACTTACAACTCATTTCATTCATTACGAAGAGCTTTCAATTACCTTAAACAATTACCATATTAACATTATCAAAACAAAGAAAACTTCTTACCTATATTGGCAAAACAACACAACATATTTATCAAACCTGAAATTATTCAATACAATACACACAATAATTGCAATTTATTAAATGCAATGAACACAAAGTCTGAATTTTATGAGTTAAATTGCAATTTACTTAATGAAATTGTTCCATTTTTCTAAATAAATTGTGATTGGCATTTGATTCGATTATAATGTCCAATTACTCTAATTTAAAACACCCTCTAAATATATGATTAAACACCACTCAATATTATCATGCTAGTGTCCATTGGAGTCCTTTCTCACTTTCACTTTGATAACAGCAGTGCATCATATTTAATGTCCTATGTTCTATTGCACCTTATGAGTCACAAACATATCCTAAATACGATAGAGGCCCTAGGATTCGTGTGGTATACTCCTACCTATTACTAAATATTATTCAAAACCTTTTTGCTATTATGGTTTAACAAAACCAAAACAATTTTAACACACCAACAATGAATTAACATACAAAATCCTAAGATTATGTGACCAAGTGGTAAAACATTTTTTTTTTTTTTTTTTTTTTTTATAAGACATATAATTACCAAATCTGTCAAAAAATGAAATTCATCATCAAGTACCATTGCTCAGTTCCTAAACCATTACTTCTGTTATTTTGACTCAAATCTCCCATTTCTACTACTAAATTATTCCTCCCAAGATACTCCAATCCGCAATGTCCCACTATTATCCATTCTATTAAACTGTCCACGCATGTTTAATTTATTCTCAGATAAATACTTCAAACTTTTACTGGGAATCCTGTCTTATAATTTTCCTATATCACTCATCACTGGATAGACAAATATGATATCTTCCTGACAACTAATGCGGCTTTAACTTGCCTACTATTTTTCAATAAATCTTAAAATCGCATTACATTATAAGTACCAATAATTTGTTGGATAGGAAATCTCTCAGTATCTTACAATCTTAA